CTCCCTCCCTCCCTCCCTTCCTTCCAGTAGAATCCTCTGCATGTCACACTGCAACTTCCTTTTTTTTTTTCTTTTTAACTTTGCGATGATTTACAAACAATTTTCTCGCACCTGGTGATTTTTCCACCTAGAGAAAAACCACAGACAAACCCGGCTTCTGGATCCCAGTCTTTGGTGAGAGCCTCTCATTTGAGAAACCTGTAACTGGCAGCTGGCCCTGCCCAGACACAAGGAGGCAGAGAATAGAAATTCAAAGATCTGCTCCATCTAGGCCAAGAGGGTGGGATTAGCTGCTTCCTCACATCTTAGCAAGTGCAAAAGTGGATGTCAGCAGACACAGGAAGCCCTCATTGTTTGAAGATGTCCACAAAAATCTAGAAAAGTGGGAAACAAACCCAGGCTGTGTGTGTGCAAGTGATGTGCGTGGGCACTTGTCTGCAGTGTCAGAGCTTTTGTTCAGTAAGAACTGCTGTGGTTCCTGTCTGAACAACCAGACTGAGATGGTGAGCTTCTGATGGGTCCCTGCAGTGGAGCTGAGTATGGAGCACAAAGCGAGAGCTGGGAATCAGATCTCTTTGAAGTAACCGTGCATTTGGAAACATTCAGATGTGATGGAGACTGAAGCCCATACCACAACCTTTGGACTTAATCTGGTCATGATGATGATAATAATGGTGACAACAATACCATTTACCACATACCAGCCAAGCACTGTTCTCAGCATTTTATATCATTTAGTACTTCCAGCAACCCTTTGAGGTGGTACTCTTGCCATTTTCCTACATTATAGGTGAGAAAAGTGAAGTACAGAAAAACTTGCCCAAACTCAGGACCAAGCTCAGGATTGGTAGAGAAGGGAAAAGATAGAAACTGCCCCATTTTGTTCCCCAATCCAGGTTGGAAATAGATCTATTTAAAGGTTGAACCCACTAACAATTTATAACTGGAAGTTATTACAGTGCGTAGTAATTTGTAACTAGAAGTCTTTCAGTTTTACAAGGTGAAGTATAACTGCAAATGGATTGGAATCTCTTGCTCATCACTCAGCAGATTCTCAGCTTGGGAGACAGAAGTTTTTTAGAAATAACTTTGAACATGGCTTGGGCTTCAGTGTCAGAGCAGAAGGGATTTGGTCTCTCTATAGCAGAGACCTTCCTTCTCCCCTCCTGCCCCCCTCATCCTGCATGGCCATTTTTTTGAGTTCACAAACAGCGCAGCAGGTGTTTGAGTATTAGAAAGGCATTGCCAAAGAGGTTCTTTCCTCCCAAGTGTATGTTTTTCTTGAGCACTTGTGTTGCTAGTGTTAATTTCTAATGCTTCTTTGAATATATTTTTGTTGATTTTATTCAGAAGAAATTCTGCTTGACTTTGTTGGACTAGCTTATTTCCAATAGCCATTCTGGCATCTCCCACATCCTGTGACTTTTTACCCCTGTCCATCTTCTGTGTCAGTATAGAATGCTAACTTTCCTTCCTGAGGAAGCATGTGACTGTCACTTTGCCCTTTAGGACAGCATCTTATAGGAATCCACCTGCTCCCTCCATGAGGTCCACCCAGTAATGGGTGGAGTCTTCCTCCCGGTGAGGCAGGGGATATTCAGTAGCAGAGGAGGAGAATATATTGGGTGTTTCTGTTTTAGTGCCCCCATTGTGTGAAGATGACAGTTCCTCTTCAGAAGGCCCGCTAAAGCCGACCCAGTGGGAGGGAGGAGTGTTGGAGATGGGGAGGGTAAAGGGAGACAGGCGACAAGGAGTCCAGAGCCAAAGGAGATGTTGGCAGAGAGAGGATATGAACATGGTTAGCTGCTTTTCACCTATAAGGGGCTGTCTGTTCATTTTACTTATTAATGTAAGTTCTATTGAATTTTGTGAACAGTGTTTTTAAATTTTTGTCTTCCTTCATTATAAAAAAATGTAGACTTATCAGTTAAAATTTAAAAATCCAAACATGAGCCCTGGCTGGATAGCTCATTTGGTTAGAGCATTATCCAAAATGCCAAGGTAGCGGGTTCAATCCTCATCAAGGCACATATAAGATGCAATCAATGAGTGCATAAATAAGTGGAACAAGAAATTGATATTTCTCTCTCTTTTCTCCCCTTCCTCTCTCTTCATCTTGGTCTCTCTCTCTGAAATCAACAAAATAAAAAAATAAAACCCAAACATGATGGAAATGTTAGAGTGAAAAATTCCCAAAACCTCCTATCCTGAGATAACCATTGTCAGCAAATTTTCCTGTAGACTTTTTCCCATTTGAATTCTAAACTGTAATCTTCCCATTGATTTTATTAATACTGACTTACTGTGTTTGTGATGGAAGTGTCTGTGAATTGTTTTCTAGCTTAGAAATGGGACCAACATACTGCAGTGAGGCAGGGGCCCTGTGTAAAGTGCACGCAGCCTTCCTTCCGGAGTTCTTGATTCAGTGTAGGCTGTGACTGTACAGGTGTGTAGGGGGCCTGGGAGCCTGCATTTCCAGCATGCTTCCAGGAGATGCCTGGCTTCTGCTTGACAGGCCCCGGTTTGAGCAGCACAGGACTGAGTCCTACACCTCCAGGCTACGCATGTGCATGTCAGTGAGCTGAAAACCCCCTGGCCAGAGTCTCATAGCTGCATTCATAGCTCATTCCGTAGTTGTAGGCAGCCAGCCAGAACCATCAACAATATGGAGTCCTGAGGAATAAAAGGTCCAGTGTCATCAGTAGCTTTGATGAAGCATTTTGTGCACTCTCAAGTTGATGGGCATAGCTTGTGCTTAGGGAAAGGGTAACCCCACAGTGTGAGTGTTGCTTTAAGGAAACAAAAAGCACAGAGCAAAAGGAGCATGGTCCACCAGGAACTGCCATTTTCTTTGGAGTCAGTGTCTTATTTGTGGTGTTGAGTGGTCTTCTGTATGCACATATGTGTAATCTTATTCCCAAACCACTTTTTTTATTGTTCATCTTAACCTGTGTTACAAAAGCATATTTATGGGGTGATGAAAATATTCTAAAGTTAGATTGTGGTGATGGTTAAAAAACTCTACATATGCTAAAACCCTTGAATTGTACACTTTAAAAGGGTGAATTTTATGGCACATTGATGATCCCAGTAAAGCTGTTTTTAAAAAGACAAAAACTACACTTAAACAAATATTCACCATTAAATCCAAATCCTGGGCAGGATCAGAATCTGGAAGCTCCTGTCTTCGAGTGTCCTGAGCTTGCCTTAAAGAGCCCACCTCCCCTGCCTTTCTATCTGTCTCCTCCGTGAACACTAGATGCTCTAGTTGCTCTTGTTTCACTTGTAAACTCACAAATGCACTAGTGATGACTGGACAATCACATTTTGGTGAGAATGTGGAGGCTGGCGGCCTGTGGATCCCAAATGATTCCAGTTCCTGCCTAATTCAGAGCTCACTGAGGGCTGCACCTTGGTGATCGATGGCTGGGTGGGGAGGGTCAAAATGGAGTCCTGTGTGTGTGAGGGAGATGGCTGCTGTGCATATCTGAATTTGAAGCTTGAGATGGCTAGAGCAGTGAAGAGAGTCTCAAAATCAATATTTAAATATTACTTTTAAAGTTTTTTCTTTCTTTAAGAGTGCTCATTGCAGAATATTTACAACAGTATTCTTAGGTTTTGTTCCATCATCAAGACTCATTAGAAATGCATTTTCCTCAGCCCTGTCTTAGACCTTGAATTAAGTTGGAGCCCAGGAATCTGCCTTTTTAACAAGCCCCCCGCCCAGATAGTTCATAAGCATGTTAAACTTTTAGAAAATATATAAAAAATAAAAAAATGAACTCTTGTAATTACCTTTCTTAAAGATGACCACTTTTGGGGCTAATTCTTTATAGCAGTTTTACCCACCTGGGTGTGTCTGTCTTTATGTGTTTTTACAAATTTTATTTATATTGTATTTATAGTTTTGTACCTGTTTTACCCTCTGTTTAACATTATATCCTGAGCAATTTCCCATGTCATTAAATATTCTCCAGAAACATGATAATTAAACAGTTAATTTTCAGTCTGTTTTACCCTCTATCATTTTAAAAAGCTCAGCCCAGGCCAGGACAGGGATAAGTGACCACCTATTTTTTGCTGGACCCTGTCTTGTAAATTAGAGATGGGTTCCAACGTGGTGAAATTCATGCAGTCTTTATTCTACATTGGAAAGTAATGTAATGGGTGTCTCCTTAGTTTCATATGCAGATAATTTAATAGCCGACTCATAACTTAGGGACAGTTCTGTTTAGCATTTCTAGAAAGTGTTCCATTTTTACTTTTGCCTTAAAGTGAATCTGTGTAAACCACAGTCTTGTCTGCATGTCTGGACCCATTCCTACTTTTGACATCAAGGCAGGGTCATCTCTGGCAGATTCCTATTTTTTTACACAGTAGTGGTCTTTTGTGCTTAATTTTAACTTGGATTATTAATCATTAAAAGATAATTTTAATACATTTTAAATATCTTTAGTGTTATGTGTTTTATTGGGTCTACAATTTGACAATTATCACCTACAAAATGATCGCATGGGTTCACTTCCTTTAAACAACAGTAATCATGATCACAGTGTTTATCGATCTTATTACCTTTCCATCTTCAGCTCAAAAGATGTGCCAGTCAGAAATAAACATAGTTATCTGCAAAACACATAAAAGAGAAAGCCCTCTATTCCCTAGACCTAGATTATTTGGGGTATGGTCAATTAGGAAGTTTCAGGAAAGAAAGATGTAAATCATTTTGGAGGCGTTTTCTGGCTAGACTTGAGGAGGAATCGCTTGCAGAGAGTAATGACATGCCCGTCTCTTTCTTTTGTGACAGATGCCAGAGATGCAGAACAGTTGAGCAGGAACAAGGTGACCCACATCCTATCTGTCCATGATAGTGCCAGACCCATGTTAGAGGTAAGAGCGTGTGCTGAGGTGCAGGGGACACCCGTGCGCTCCTCTGGTTGCTGTTGTGCTCCGGGGACTTACATCCACAACCTGCCTATGGAATGTGGAGGGTGTGTTGTTCCCATTGTCTCCTGCTACATTTCGGGCTTGGCTTTCTTGACTATGTACCAAAGATAAGCTGGTGCTGTACTGATTTCCCTCTGGGTTTTAAGGACGTTTCAGACCCATTCCATTCCTTTCAAAATTATCTCCAATTTTAGAATCCAAAAGAATCTGGGCTGCTCATTTCCTAGTTGTTGTTTTTTCCTCACTTAAGCTCAATTATGTACCATTTGCATTTGGGAATAAAAGATAATGGGAGATAAGTCATCACTGGAGATTTTCGAAGGCTCCTCTGGTACAGAGGCTGTCAGTGTAGAAGCTGTTGTGTTTTCGGTTTTCAAGTAAACAAGGTGTGTCTGCCTGTACATATTCCCAAACCATCTTCAATGTTACCCCAATGGACTGTTTGAGCTGTTGTCCAGGAGCCAAATCTGTTTCTCTCCGTTAGCCTTGGCAGAGCCCAAGTTACCCCTTTTTAGGAAAGTAATGCATGTGTGGTTGTAATGTGTATTGTGTTTTTCTGTTGTAGGGTAGGGTTTTGGAGAAAATGGGGTGATTTGTTCTGAAAGAAATAATCATAGTTCAAGCTGTTTTCATTTAAATTCATATTATACAAGAATAGATCATACACTTTTATTGTTAATCTATTTTCCTTAGCCATTAGAGCTGCCAGATTAGAGTTAGTGTAAAACAAATGAGGACATGGAGGAAGAAGTGATTCTGTCAAATGTTGTACAGAGAACTGTAGATGGTAAGCAGCTTGGACCATTTCTTGAGATCTGTGAGCTGGCACTTCTGTTTCAGCTCATACTTCTTGTTAAGGTGCTATAATTTGTGTTGCAGTAAGATTTCATTGAAAAACACAACAACAATAGCACACCATTTTGGGGAAACATAACAGTTCCATTTTTTCATCTATGAATGACAGTTTGTATTTGAAGCATAGCGAGGGTATGGCCACCATCATAAGTTAAACATAAACAGTCATGATTGATTTCCTCTTAAATCATAACATGAGACTTGAGGTTTCCTTTATTTAATGAATGACATAGATGTCCTTCACTCCTCACCCTCCAACCCCGCCTCCTGACTTGATGCTCCATTTAGCGGAGCACGTTGTCCTTGTCCTGTATGAACATGGCCCTTGACCTGTCCCATTTGTAGCTCCTGCTAGATACAAGACCTGCAAGTGTTAGAAGTAAAGGAGCTTCAGCCCCAATCTGCCCAACCTCTCATTTTACACACAGGGAAATGAAGGGCTAGAAAGTGAAACAGGTGGGATTGTAGCCCAGTGTAGAGACCACTGTTTGCCTAAAACCCTCAGAGCTGTGGACAACTGTGTTCCCATCAATAATATACTGCATATTTCTTTTTAGTCCCTACATATCTCAGTCTAACTTCACAAGTATTCATGAATACATTCATAAAAAAATAGAACAATAGCCTCTCTGATGTAACAATTGAACTAACATGCTCACATTAAGTTATTGGAATAGAGGAGATTCACCGGGCAGGGATCAGACGGTTCAGACCTTTGGTTAGCGTTAGCCCCTGCCTGATGCCTATGGCAGCTTCTGTCTTAAATTGCAGCTCTTGTTCCAGAAGCCACACTCTTCACCAGCCTGGGCTAGGTCAGGGATATTAACTTGTTTGGTGTAGGTAGGGAATTAATAGATTTAATTCTTTTTTTAAAAAATATATTTTATTGATTTTTTACAGAGAGGAAGGGAGAAGGATAGAGAGTTAGAAACATCAAGATGAGAGAGCATAGATCAGATTTTTTACAGAGAGGAAGGGAGAAGGATAGAGAGTTAGAAACATCAAGATGAGAGAGAAACATAGATCAGCTGCCTCCTGCACACCCCTTTCTGGGGATGCGCCCGCAACCAAGGCACATGCCCTTGACTGGAATTGAACCTGGGATCCTTCAGTCCACAGGCCGACGCTCTATCCACTGAGCCCAACCGGTTAGGGCTAGATTTGATTCTTGAGCAGCCCTATGTTTTACTGGTCCTGATCCCCAGAGTTAAATAAGAACAGAGATGAAGGTGAAAGGGTAGATTGTATGCAGGGCCAAGCAGCTGCTGTGAGTTTCTCCCAGCCTGATGAGGGGCCCTAATAGAGAGTGGAGGGGAAAGAATAAGAGAGAAAGGAGCTGGACCTGCTTCATTTTCTAAGAGCTTCAAAGCCATGCATGTTTATCTTGTGATCCCTGACTTACTCTGGGTAGCACTAGTCTGAGGCAGAGCTGGAAGAGGGAGGTAGTTACTATCTAAAATAGAAAGGTTTCAGCCCTGTTGCTTCCACGCAGGAGTTCCGTGAGTCCTACTGTTGTGTAGCTGTCTGTGGATTGGGCAGTGCACTTTGGGTCATTTCCAACAAATATCTAACACTGGGTGCTTAGCATCAATTAGCAAGGGATTTTGGAATCTTTAGGTCTGTTCTAAGTGAGAAAGGGCAGTCATATTGTTCAGCAAGGTTTCTAAAACAGAAGTCAGAAGTCAGGGGCTTCCTGAAGAGGTCTGGTCAAAGGATAGGCTGTCAGACATTAGGCCTGGAATGTGATGCTTTGCAAAAAATAAATAAGTTTAGGGAATTTAACACCCCTCTGGAAAATTCACGGTTGTGTTGACAGAAAAACGGTTCCAGGTTCTGCATTGAAGGTACACAGTAGCCAGTCTATCTGAGCAGGGACCTGATACCATCTGTGGAACTATGTTCTGCTGAATACGGTCATGGGGATCCAGAGTCAGGAGGACCTTGGAAAGTGCCTGTAGCCCCACGAGTCTGGGTGAGTCTCCAGGGTAAGTGGGTGTTTAGAGGAATGCTCAAACACTTGAGTAGCCAAGAGGACTAGAGGAGGTGGTGCCAAACCTGATCTCGTTATTAATGGAGGCTGCTGGAGAATGGGTTTCTGTGACATCTTGGTATAGAAGAGATAGGCAAAATGGAAGATTGCACACTTTTTGTGCCTATTGTAGCCTCTTAGGTGTAATCTGTTGCAAAACCTAGTCAATAACGGTACTATAAAGTACACCCACCATAAAAGAACTCATGAATATGCTGACGACATCCTTAGTTATTATGCACTTACTGATTTTATTTAGGAAAGACTCTAAGGAACTTGGTTGATTTTAGTTAGATTAGATCTGATTTTTCATTATTTGGATAATTGGGGGGTTTCCAACATGGCATTAGCAGGGTCTCCCACTCTTCCTAGCAGCCTGATAAGTGGAAGAAGATGAAAGACGCGGTTCTCGACCTCTAGAGCGGCTGGGCCTGACCCTGGGCCTGGAGTGCAGCAACTTGTCTCTGGTGTTTCTGTGCTGGATGAGATGAAGTTCTTCATCCTCTGAACCAGGAAGCCAGATGGTCAGCTAAGGGGAAGAGGTTTGGTCAGCTAAGGGGAAGAGGTCTGAGGCTTCAATTATTATCTCTTCCGAATTTTATCTGAGGAATAGATCTTCTGGAATGAAGACTCTTAGAAACTTGGGCACCTTCATACTCACTTGAGTCAGCCCTAAACTAACAGGAGATGCTGAAGAGCTCTGGCTCCCATTTTCATGCCTGCTGCACAGGGTCCTGGAGATGACCTCCTTGATCCCATCACTGCGAGCAGGAAGCTGAAGTTCAGAGATGTGCAGGGACTTGTTCTTGATCCCACAGCTGGTGTATGGCTTTGTGGAAACCTGGATCTTCTCTCGGGTTTTCCAGTGTGCTTCCCTGCCGTGGTTCTCTGGTGCCCCTGACTTTGCCAACAGTATTGGTAGATGTTGCCACATCAGCTTGGGAAAGGGTTGTACCATTTGTGTCTTGATTAACAGTGTATGAAAGTGTGTTTCCCCAGACTACCACCACCACCGAGTTTTATTCTTCTTTACTTTTAATTAGCAATATTTTTGTTTTTTATTATTGCCTCAAGTGCCTTCCTCACACTGTTTAGTCTTTTGTCTAGACATTGAAGGCAGGGAGTTAATGATTTATTCATTTCTTGAGCTCCTACTACATACCAGCCCCAGGGTAGGTGCGGGAGATAACAGAAGTAAATCTCAGTATCTGCCCTGGCAAAGCCCTTAATGTATAAAGAGGATATGTATTATGGTTATTTTATAAATATCTCTATATATAAAACCCTAATATGCAAATAGACCGAATGGCAGAAAACCAAACAACCCGTCACTATGACATGTGCTGACCATCAGGGGGTGTGCGTGGAACATGGCAGGTGTCGGCCAAGGTGGGATGGTGGAGCAGGTGAGCAGAGGCGCCAGACCAAGGCGGGCGCCAGTCACTGTCATCGGGGTGAGCCTCTGGTGGTTACTGAAAATTCTTTGCTCCCGTATACCACAGTTCTGCCCGGCGCTCACTCCTGCTGCCGGCGCCGGAGCCACCGCTTGCACCCACTGCCAGTGCCCAGAGCAGGCCCCAATCGCTCGGCACCATCAGCAGGTGCGAGCGGCAGCTGCCAGCCCCTATCACCCCTCAAGGCTTCTCCACCTCCCCCTGTTCCTGAGGGGCGATCGGGGCCAGTAGCTGCCTCTCGCACCCGCTGCAGGTACCAGCACCACCACTCGCACCCACTGCTGACGCTGGCCCCAGTTGCACCCGCAGCTGGCGCCGGAGCTGCTGCTCGCACCCGCTGCCGGTGCCTGGCGCCGGTCCTGATCGCTCAGCGCTGTCAGCGGGTGTGAGTGGCAGCTGCCAGCCCGGATCATCCCTGAGGGCTTCTCCACCTCCCTCTGCTCCTGAGGGGCAATCAGGGCAGCAGCCACTGCTCATACATGCTGATGACGCCGGCCCCACTCGCACCTGCTGCTGGCGCTGGCCATCAGTGGGTGCAAGTGGGACCAGCGCCATCAGTTCGTGGGAGAGGCAACGGCAGGAGCAGGGCTGCCGGCAGACAGGGG